TCAAAATCAAAAACCAAAACCAGCTCAACCCCTCCAAACGATCTACACAATCTCAACGGCCAATCCAACTCTGACACCCCAATTCAACAAGAACCAAACCGGTTTTAACCTGTTAGGAATGACAACAACAACAAAAACTTACCAAATCAAGACTAAATTCCTGAAAATCTTCCATACTACTAAAAAAAAATATTCCCACCCGCCCTAACATCATCGTTTTGAATATGCATTAGCCATTCAACACTACTAGTATAAACCCACTCACCTGGTGACAGTTGGTACTATTAGTTAGTTGTGATAGGCTAGAATTAATTTACAGTTTTCTAAATATGTAAAGATTCTTAATGTAATGGCTATAAACTATCGTTTAATAAAAGTCTCGCATTTAATGCCTGTTTGCGATTAAAAATAAAAATAAAAATAATAATAGGATTTAAATCTATTTATGTCTGTTTTTGAAAATTTCTTTTTTACTTAAAAACATAAATTTAGACCTTTTACAAAATAATTAAATTTAAAATCAATTGTAATTAATAATGTTATTATGTTAAAATAAATTCAATTTCAATATTTCGTATACTAAATAATTTTCATGTACAAATAATAGCAAGTAGTAATTTATATACAATAAAATAAAAATAACAAATAACAAATAGTTCAAATAACCAAATTTTATTTTATCAAATATATTTTTATTTTATATATTAATACATATTTATAATATTTTATTTAAAATTTATGCATTTTATTAAGTGTTTTATAACATTTTTATGATTGAATATATTGTATATACCTATATATTTATTATTAGTTGATTTATTTATTTTGTTTATATAAAGTATTATAAAAAATATCAATAATTATATATTTAAAATTTAACGATCAATAATTTAGTAAATTTTACAATAAATAAATAAACATATTTATATAGCCATTTTTGTAATATTTTGTAAATAATAAATAAAAATAAAAATTTTTATAACCAGAAAAAATTATTTATAAAAAAAAAAAAAGAAAAAAATATTAAAACTTAATTATTAAAAATTACCACATTAAAAAATAAAAAATAAATTATTATAGGAAATTGATATTCGTACCTCTTATTTTTGATATTTATACCTCATGTGGCTGGTATTTCGATCACATGACATTAAGTGACTAGCAATCTTATATATTAACATCTCTCGCAAAACAACAATTCTAATGGTGATATGTCCTTTTATACTAGCAACAGATGCTTCAATAAACTTCCACATTTCGCAAAGGTTTTCACGAGTTCTGCCATGCTGAAAAATCTGAAGTATGATGATACAACACAGACATCAGGTTATCACATCAAGTATCGACAGAAAATTAGAGTTTTATGATGACACACCCAACTATAAAACCTGAGGAGACACGAAAATCAAGTGCTACGAATACATTCAAACAACACTAAAAGACCATCAAACTCAAAGCACGAAAAGGGATTGAGAAACCAAAACTGCATGCACAATAAGAATCACACTGCATGCGTCTGAGTTAACACCCGAATCATATTAGCAATACATTATGTACCACATCAAAATCCACTCAAGCTAGTTAATGGAAAGTTCTACAAGATGAGAGTAAAGAAAGCAACCAACCCAATGACATTACCTGCGGAGACGTGACCACTGTATGAAATGATCGAACTGCATCAAAGGACCACTGGATGAAGAAAGAGGGATTAAACACTTACACGATGAAATAAGCTAGAAACCAGATGGCATCAACAGCTTATCACCGGTTATATCAAGGTACGGCATAATCCAATCAAAGGAATGATCTTATGGAGAGAATGGAGGGACGTCAAAAGAGAACGTGTACAATGATACCTGCGACAAGAAGAAAAGTAAGGATAGGAGATTTCCAAATCTAAAATCCAGACATCACCATCGCTTTGCCACTTGCTGCAATAAATCCTGTCACGACCTAACCGATTAGGATATCCTAAAAGAAAATTGGAATGGGTTAGACAAAAACTTTATGCCGATAGCACAAGCTGTGATGGAGAACTCACCATATCAACGACTTATATTAAGCCCGACAGAGATAACCTGCTTTATATGCTTAGAGATTAATAGAAGGAGAAATAAGATGACGAACAAATCAATAACCTACCAAGAACAGACATTTTCCAATAGAACACTGTGATCGATCTGCCGGAGTGGAATATTCTGTGTGATATGCATAAGATAAGTGCGAGCAATGTAACATTGAGAAATGGAATGTGACTACAATCACGTAACTAATCACTGTGAAGGTGTCGCGGACCCGTTCTAATCGCAGTACTTAAGGTGGTATGATGGAGTATATAAGCAAGGAGCAGGTGGAATGGATAAAGTGGTAATAGGGCAGCGTGTGAGAAAAATTAGATAACAAGAGGAGGATTGTGAACAATCGTTATTATGTAATAGAAGAGAAATGCAAAACCTTAGATAATCAAAGTCGTTCCAATTTAAAATGTATAAAAAGATGTAAGCAAAAGTAAATAAAGGACAATGAATTATCTTTCTACTTAGCCAAATCGAACACGCCTAGGAACTATTAATATAAACTATCTTTCTGACAATTATGCGACACTCTGCCCCAGGTTAGCGATGGACTTGCCGATTGACCTTCACAGTATGTATTCACCCAGAATTCAGTAGCATTATTACATCTTGTACTATTGTCCTTAGAATCATATATAACAGCTTTATATAGTAAGTTTTTGTTATATTCTCTGAGATCCTATTCAATTAAACAATATATTTATTTTTCTTAGGTACATAACTTTTCTTGCTATGATTTCCTTTCCCTTTCAACAAATTTTATCAGTGGGTCTTGACATTCTAGCTCTGGATCATCATTAAGGTAATAATGTTTTCATATTTTGCTTTCAAACCTTGAATTTTTTCATTTTAATTCTAAGTTTTCATGCTTACTAATAAGAAAAGTTAAATTACCAATCTATCATACACATGCTGAAATTTAAGACCCGCAATACACTAAACAATATATAATACGTAGTAGGTATTTAAAAAATAAATACTTACCTTTCCTTTTAAAATTATTAATTTAATAATGCTTCCACCACCTTCTGAAACATATAATAGTGCAGATAAACTCTTTCAAAGTGTTTAGACTTTTGCCAATTCTCAAGGTTACATATTGATAAAAAAAAGAACACGTAAAGACCGTCATGGAGAATTAAAAAACATGTCATTATGTTGTGATCGGGGTGGAACTTACAGTTCAAAAGCACACTATCGACAAACAAGTTCTCATCTAATTGATTGTCCATTTGAAATATATGCCTCATGATGTAATGGGTTATGGAATTTGGAAGTTTGTAACTCAAATCACAATCATGAATGGTCAGATAATATGTCAGGATATCCAATTTCTTGTAGATTAACTAAACAACAACTGGAAAGAGTTAGAGAAATGACTGTTTCGAATTCACATCCTAGGGAAATTGTATCAACTCTTAGACAAAATGATGAATCAACATTAGTAACTAATAGAGATATTTACAATGCATGTGAACAACTTCGTCAACAATACCTGGCAGGACGAACACCAATTTAAGCATTAGTTGATAAGCTTCAAGAGAATGAATTTATATATAAATGCAAATATGATGATAATGGATGCATTACTCACCTTTTTTTTGCACATAATGAGTCTATTGCCCTTACTCGACAATATTTCTCAGTGTTTCTCATGGATTGTACTTATAAGACAAATAAGTTTGGAATGTCCTTATTAAATATTATTGGGATAACAAGTTTCTATACTACTTTTTTTTCTTATTTTATTTTTATAAAAAGTGAAGAAAAAGATGACTATCAATGGGCTTTAAATAATGTTGCTTATTTGTTTGATGGAATTGTACAACCTGGTATCATTATAACTGATCGGGAGTTATCGTTAATAAATGTTCTTAAAGAAACATTTCCTAATTCAACCAATTTATTGTGCATATGGCATATTAATAAAAATATTTTAAAGAATTGCAAGCTGTAATTTTTAAAAGAAACAGGAACCAGTAATGATTGGAATACTTTTCTTTTAAATTGGAACAAAGTTATCAAATCCAAAACCAAAGATGAATTTAATATAAATTGGCAAGAATTTTATTCTAATTACATTAATATACCTAATATAATTACTTATATCAAAGAGACTTGGTTACCTTGAAAAAAGCAATTTGTAGAAGCATGGACAAATAATTTTTTTCATTTGGGAACAACCATGACATTTAGAATTGAAGGTGCTTATGCTATACTTAAAAAATACTTACGAACATCAACAGGAGATCTTTATCAAGTCCGTGAAACAATATCTTTGGCAGTAATCAATCAAAAAAAAGAAATTGATGCAATGATTGCATCTGAACGTATTTAATTTCCAGCTTTTGTTCATAATAATCTATTTTATGCCAATGTTAAGGGAATAATATCAACTTTTGTTCTTAAAAAAATAAATGAGCAATATCAAAAGATCAACAATACTGCTATAGAAACTCTACCACCATGTACTGAATCATTTTCGAATACGATAGGATTACCTTGTGCTTATATTATTTAATATCTTGGAGATAGAAATTTAACATTAGATAATATTCATAAGCATTGGTGGATTAATGAATATATACAAATATCATCAATGTTACCGATTAATAGAAATGAAAATTTGATTGAATCTCTTTTACAAGATCTAAAAAATAGATATCAAAATTGGCCTGAATATTAACAAGTAGCTGTACAAAAATCAATAAGCGATATAATTACACCACCAGTTATCTTACAAAAGCCTCAAATTATTCGTATTAAAGGACGTCCTTCTGGTTCTTCTAATAATCGATCAACAAATTCAACAAAAAGAGATCCTCCTGAATTTGAATTTATAGAATGCAAAGTAAGATGTTGTACCTTTTGTAAACAACCTGGACATTATTCTTGTACTTGTCCAAATTTACAATAGGTTTAATTAGTTATTTCTTTGTAATG